TTTGTAGATGTGCGATGGACAATGTGGAGGACACATGTAGATTAAGAGCTGAGATTCAGAAACAAAAATGGAGATCCAGCTGGCTTTAATTTTTGGGAGCCACCAGTATGTTGAAGATATTTCAAGTAATGAGGCCTGGTGTGGTCATCTGATGAAAAACTGTGGATAAGGAAAAGGTCAAAGTCTGGATTGTGAGGGGCAAGAATAGATGTTTGTCTACTCAGTCAATTAGACAGCATTAATATTAAATGCCAAAAACTAGACAGTACACAAATAATAGATAGTCCTTTGTTTACACAAAGGGCAGCAATACACACTCAGGCTTAAAAGCCCACTCTGAAAACTATGTGTTAAATGACTCTGGAATCAGCTTTCCTCTCCCCTTGCTCCTCACTGGGATACGACGGTGGAATACTAGTGCAGGCATTAGGACACGAGGCTTGGAGGAAAAGAGGCTGAGCCATTGGAAGGGGCCTGGCCTCTGTTACCCCAAAGGTTTGGGGGGTGAGTTATGTTAGTATAAAATCATATGCTTTATGGATTGGAATGCAGATTGGACTAGGATAGAATGGGGGGCTAGAAGGAAGAGGTGCTCTGTGACTCCCCCTCTTGCTGCCTGTCTCCTCTGGGACATTGTGGGAGAGGACTCCAGAAGTGAGATCAAACATCATGTCACCCCCAAAGAAGAGAGCTGCTGCTGAGGCCCTAAGGTGGGTGCTGTTTGGGAGCAGTTGGGGCTGCAAGAGAAAACGCATCCCATTCATAGGTTCTGTGGGAAATCCTTTTGTGTAACCAATCCCCACACTCCCCCAATTCATCTGCCCTATGAGTTAATTGGATTTAACCTGTTAGATTCGGGTGCAGTGCAGTGAAGATAAGCATGGGAACTTGGGCTTTGAAGTCTGTAATTTGGTTTGCAAATCTCCTGACTTTGCCTGCTAGAACCTTGGACTGAGCCCTTGGTCTACCCAGGGGCGCTGAGTGTGGCTTCTAACATGTAAGGAAGGGATCAGTGAAGTGCTGCAGGCATTGGTGTGTTGGAGACTATAGGCAGAAGAATCTGTGACGGGACCTTTCCATGGGAAAATGCCTAAGGCGTGCCCTCCTCTCTACCCAGCCTGTCTTCACAGCCCTCTCAGGCCAACTTCCTCAGAAGCCAGCATGGGACCCATGCCCCCATCTCCAGCATGCCCTGCTAAATGCCCACAGCTGCTGTGGCTCACCCTTCCTTATAAGTGAGCTAAGCATATTCAGCCATGTCGGTGATTTCCATTCAAATCGAGATCGAAGATGTGAAAATGGGACTTTGGGCACGGTGACAGATGGATATGGAAGGCTGAGGGTAGAGGAGCTTCCTCGAGACTCCAAAAGTCATGTGTCCAGTGAACAGACAAGGCAGGCATAGCCCGTGAAAGCTCCCCGCTATGCTATAGCCTAACGCCTGTGAGCTGAGAGCTTCAACTACCTCAGATGTAATTTCACTGAATTGTACTCAGAGTATTTCTGTCCACTTTGCATAGTTCTCTGAATATGCTATTCCCTCACCGTGTCTGTGTGTCTGTGTACTTACGCACACGTCTGTGTGTGTATGTGTGGTGTACATGTTCCTACAGGTGTGTGCATGCATCTCTGCACACATGGAGGCCAGAGGTTAAATGTGTGTGTCTTCCTCAACCATTTTCATTCTATCCTTTGAGCTTATGTCTCTCACTGAACCTGATTCAGCTGGACTGGATGGCCAGTGAACTCTGGAAATCTTTCTGTGTCTGCCCCACCCGCCCTGGTTACAGATATGGGCCATGACTTTTGTTATAACAACACAAATGACTAAGACTATACCAGAGTCTCTAGAAAGAAGATGGGAGCCAAAGCCTCTCCCCTCTCAAACCATGAACACACAGGTGGCTTGTTTGTGATGGAGTGCGTACACACACACACACACAGCAGGAGTGTCTGTTACAGGAAGTCTCCCAGGGCAGAGACTGGTGCCCACTCCAGAAGTTGTGAAGAGCCCCAGAGTTCATACACAAACTGCACCTCTTTCTTATCTGAGCCCCTGCCTTCCAGACAACAATGGCTCCCAGCCTTCTCATGGTCTCCTGAAAGGCCTGCTGGCTGCTCTCTGGGCTGCCTGGTTCTGCTGGTGGATTTGGTTTAGGAGGCAGTTCCTGCAAGGGATATCCATCTTCAGTCACAAATCTATCAGGGAGCTGGGTTGATGCTCCTACAAGTGTGTGCATGCATCTGTGCACACATGGTAGGCAGTGTTGGTCGTAGGGCAGAGGTAGCCCGGGCCCCTTCTGATCTCTTGGTAAACTCTTTGATGACTGTTGGAAGTGCTTGGAGATTGCTGTGCCGCATCAGACAGTGGCCTTGGGTCACAGGAACAGCCTCATACCAGTGGACATCAGGCTGGAAACTGAAAGTGGCCAAGGTGAAAGGCATGCCCCTGGCCTCAGCAAGGAATGGCGATGAACACTCTGCCAGGCTGGGAAGAAGGGTTCACTTGTATCCATCTCTTTTCTCCCTTGCTTGAGTAGTAGTTTGTGGTTGTAATTGTACCTCAGCTTTGTAGTTTTGCCTAAGAATACTCTCTGAGCCTCCCTAAGACAGAAGTGCATTTGAACAGACACACTATACATGTGTGCTTAAAAAGGCAATTTAATCTACATTTATACAACCCAGGTTTTGCAAAGAGCTTGTGGCATTTCTGGAAGTATCCCCTTTTGTGAATTTTTTTCTTGCTACATTCTCTTATTCCTTGCATTTCTAGAACTCATCTTTCTTCCTAAAACTCACCAGAAACTCTGCTATGGTAGAGGGAGAGGGGCAGAGGGCAGTCCTCCATGAGGAACTGGGCATGGTGGCTGAAGGCACAGTTTGTGTGTCTTGTGGTGGGGACACCTCTCTTCTCAACATTTCCTGCCTGGTCACGGGGTGGTAGAGAGGCCTGCCTCAAGCGACGAACCCAAGGCTTTTCCACCAAGAATAATGACATTTCATAGACTCTGAAGAGCTGTGTGCATGGTATTACTTTAACTGCAAATAATCTCTCATAGGAAGTCAAGGGTAGGAGGCAATGGGAAAGCCAGACATATCTCAGCTCATTTTTGTTCTTAGAATGCTTTCAGTGAGCTAGAGAGATAAGGTTTCAGAAAATAACAGGGTGGAGACAACTCAGAACTTTGTCCCATTCTCTTATCACTTGGCGGCTTCCCTGACTTAGATCCAATTGCCTTTATCTCATTGTTATGGAGAAATGAGAGAGTGTATCTCTGTGTGTGTGCATGTGTTTGAGTGTTCATGTGTGTGCAGGTGCACATGTACTGTGAGCATTCACATATGCAGAGAGTAGAAGAAAACCCTGAGGTCTTTCCTTAGGTGCTGCCCACCTTGTTTTTCAGGATGGGATCTATCATTGGTCTGGAATTTGAAGTTCATCTGGGCTGGCTGGCTAGTGAGTCTCAGAGACCTGCCTGTCCCCACCACCTCAGTACAGGGATTGCAAGGTCATGGCGTCATACTCAGCCTTTCCTATATGGTTTCTGGGGACTGAACTCAAGTCCTTGGGCTCACAAGGCAAATGCTTTATGAGACAGAGACATTCTCCTACCTCTTGGCTGTCTTGATAACCAAAGAATCTTCCTCTCACATAAGGAAAAGGATAGTTGGACACAGAACAAGTAGGGCAGCTGCCCAGGTCATGTTTGGGGTGTTTGAAGGAGAGAGTTGCCACAGCCATTGAGTCTGTTACAGTCTCTGTCAAAAGCAGAAAGCCTACTTGGTTTGATTACAGTCAAGCCTGAGCAGGCAATGTAAACATTTCAAACTCTTAGTATCCTTTGCTACACTGGGTGATTCAGGTCTGGGAGGAGCCAGCAGCTCTTGCAAGTCAGTCAGAGAATCCTCTTTGAAGTCATGGTGTCTGCTGACTACCATTCCTTACCTTCCTGCTGTCCCAGAAGTCACCCGACCCTCAAAACATACTCTCACCACTCCCCAGAACACACTTCCACCACTCCTCAGAACACACCCCCACGTTTCCCCAGTACACACCCCCACGTTTCCCCAGTACACACTCCCATCATTCCCCAGAACACACCCCCACGTTTCCCCAGTACACACTCCCATCGCTCCCCTGTACACACTCCACCATTCCCCAGTACACACTCCCACCACTCCCCAGTACACACTCCCACCATTCCCCAATACACACTCCCACCACTCCCCAGTACACACTCCCACCACTCCCCAGTACACACTTTCATCACTCCCCAGTACACACTCCCACCACTCCCCAGTACACATTTTCATCATTCCCCAGTACACACTTCCACTGTTCCCAGTCCCCACTCTCACCACTCCCCAGAACACACTTCCACCACTCCTCAGAACACACCCCCACGTTTCCCCAGTACACACTCCCATCACTCCCCTGTACACACTCCCACCACTCCCCAGTAAACATTCCCACCACTCCGCAGTACACACTCCCACCACTCCGCAGTACACACTCCCACCACTCCCCTGTACACACTCCACCATTCCCCAGTACACTTCCATCACTCCCCAGTAACACTCCCACCACTCCCCAGTACACACTTCCCCACTCCTCAGAACACACCCCCACGTTTCCCCAGTACACACTCCCATCACTCCCCTGTACACACTCCCATCACTCCCCTGTACACACTCCCACTTTTCCCCTGTACACACTCCCACCACTCCCCTGTACACACTCCCATTGCTCCCCTGTACACACTCCACCATTCCCCAGTACACACTCCACCACTCCCCAGTACACACTCCCACCACTCCCCTGTACACACTCACACCACACATTCCCACCACTCCCCAGTACACACTCTCACACTCACCTGACTTTTCCCCAAACAATAAGACAGGCAGGACACACTGGAGCAAGTTCAAAGAGGGGTGAGTGACAACTTTCACCTTTTATTGTTACATGTGTTCAAAACCACAGAGGGTCAGAGGTCATGAGTGAGACAGGTCAACCTGCAAGGTAACTTTTGGGGAAATCACACAGTACTCCAGGACGTCTGGAAAGTGATGAATCATGCCACCCCTTTCTCTTTCTTAATCTCCACGTCCTGTGTGACTTGGTCCTGGAAGCCTGACCCAGGTACCACAGGAGCAACAGCCATTGAAGAAATGGCAGAGGCACATAGAGAAGAGCTGGACCAGGTGGGCACCTACTATGCCACCTGGAATCCTAGTTTATTACTCACAACACAAGGAGCTGTGGCTAAATAGTCTTGGTGTGGGTCTCTGTCGGGGAGCAGTCCCAGATTTCCGTCACCCAGGAGGAGGGAGAAGCGTTGTTGGTATTCTCATACACTGGTCAGTCCTTGTTAAACTTGCAGACTTCAACCAGAAGAAGGCTTGGCCGTTGCCATGGGTCTGAGGCCCGTGTCCATTATTATCCATTTCCATCCAGGACTCCATCCACTGCTGCAGTCAAGAGCTCATTCTGACCTAACCCAGCCTTGTGTTGCTGCCCAAGGGCTAAGCCATGAATTTGCCCCACTGGAGCCCATGGCACTTGCTATTACAAAGAAAAGCATTTGAGTCTGATTTTCCTGCCCAGCCTGAGGCAGTGAAAGCCCCCCACTCTGGAAGCCACCCTCCCTGTAGCGAACATGCCATGCTGATTGTGGGCCAGGCATTCCCCTCGGTGCTTTGTGGGAACTGATGTTTTAATCTTGCTATGCGCTACTGTTCTTCTGGAAAACAAGAACACGGAGAGCATGAATTTAGAGTGAGGAGTTCCAGCCATAAATGGTAGAGGAGGCTGCAGAAGCTGAGCCTCGGAGCTCCATCTCTCAGCTGATATCCCACACTTCTCCAGTGTCATCAATGAAAGAGGGTGTCCTGGTTGGTATTTATTGTCAGTCCCCTGGGCAGAGGAGACTTCGATTGAAGAATTGATCAGACTGATCTGTAGCTATGTCTGTGATTGATTGACGCTTGATGTGGGAGGGCCCAACCCACTGTGGTGGGGAGCCCACTGTGGTGGTGACACCCCTGGGCACTGGGTCCGGGCTGTGTAAGACAGGTGGTAGCTGAGCCAGCCACAGAAGGAGCCAGCAAGCAGCGTTCCCCAGGGGCTCCACTTCAGTTCCTGCCTGGGTCCTGCTATGACTTCTCTCAACAAGGGAATGTGGCTTGGAAGTGTAAGCCACATAAGCTCACAGCCCTGCACTCTCACCCCTGCCCCACCCCAGCCACATCCTTGTCTGCTCTGCACCTCCTCCTCTTCCAGCAGCCTCTGGTTCTCAGCCACAAGTGTTTTATTTGGCTTCTGAGTCTTGAGATGTCCCCGTGCGAATTGCAGAGCTCTGAATAATCAAATACCTAACTAAGGCAAAGTGGGGTGCAGGTGAAGGATCTGGGAGGGGGAGCAATGCATTTGCTGGGTGTGTCTACACTGCTTGTGAAGTGCCAAAGTCATCAAAGCAGAGTCTGCTTCCTACCCTGAGAGGAGGAGCAACGCATTTGCTGGGGGTGTCTATACTACATGTGAAGTACCAAAGTCGTCAAAGTAGAGTGTGCTTCCTACCCTGAGACAGGGAGCAATGCATTTTCTGGGTGTGTCTACACTGCTTGTGTCGTGGCAAAGCCATCAAAACAGAGCTATGTTTCCTACTCAGGCCAGGGGTTTTCTGCTAAAGTTTGCTTTTCCTTTGTTGGCTATATTTTCTCTGGGTTCTTCATCAAATGTTTCAGTTGTGTGTGTGTGCTGGAAAAGAAGAGAGATGAGGGATGTTTGCATGTGTGTATATACACAACAACTCTCTGCAGCTAGGTCTCATACCCATGATCACCACCAGTTCTTACCCTGCTTCAGTTTTACGATGTAGAGTGACCAGAGAGAAATTTATGATGTGCAGGTCATCAAAGCAGAAAGTCTACTCCCACTGCATCTTGGAAACCGCGACCAAGATGTCTGTCACTTCTCCATTCACCTCCGTTTGCTCATTGCTCATCCATCTCGTCACCACCCTTCTCCGTGGCCTCCCCTCACAGTTTGTTCACTCAGTCCTACATCTTCCATGCATGAGGGATTCTTCAGGTGCTTGGGTTACAAAGCAAAAGTATTTCTCCCATGGTCTGTATGGCCTCTGGTTCTAAGATCTAAAAAGACACCAAGAAGGTGTCTGGGGCAGAACTCACCGGGATTTGGGCAAAGGGTCCAGAGTCCTCCTTGCTGAAAGAAAGTATTGGCTTGACCTGACTGAGCAGGCACCTTCCAGCTTCCTCCCCTGGAGGGCTTACTTTAAACCATAATAAGCTCTGGTGCCAGCTGCCAAATTTCCTCTGGGCTCTTCATTTTGCATGTACCTGTACCCTCTAGTGCTGGCTAGTTTTATGTCAACCTAACACAAGCTAAAGTCATCTGAGAGGAGGGAACTTCAATTACGAAAATGCCTCCATAATATCAGGTTATAGGCCATCCTGTAGGGCATTTTTTTTTAAATTAGTGATTGATGGGGGAGGGACCAGCCTCGGTGAGTGCCAGCCATGCACATAGTACAGAAACCCATGCGGGGATGTGCTGGCTAGTCTTAGGTTAACCTGACACAAGCTAGAGTTATCTTGATGAAGGGAACCCCAATTGAGGAAATGCCTCCTAAGATCCAGCTGTAAGGTATTTTCTCAATTCATGATTGATGGGGGAGGGTCCAGCCCACTGTGGGTGGTGCTAATATCCTTGGGCTGGTGTCCTGAGTTCTATAAGAAAGCAGGCTGAGCAAGCCGGGGGAAGTAAGCCCATAAGCAGCACCCTGCTACAGCTTCTGAATCAGCTCCTCACTCCAGGTTCCTGACTTCCTTCCATGATGAATAGTGATGTGGAAGTGTAAGCTGAACAAACCCTTTCCTCCCCAAGTTGCTTTGGTCATGATGTTCCATCACAGCAATGGTAACTCTAACTAGGACACCTCTGCTGCCTCAGTTTACAAGGGATCCTCTCTGCACCCACAATGGAGGATACGGGGCGTGTCTCCATGCTCTTCCACCTCCCACTAGATTAAGGAACAGCTCTGGGGCTGCAGTTTGTAATGCCTTAAGGAAAATGGTTCTCTCCTGCAGCCACCCGGTACTGTCCGTGGTTCTGAAAAGTTAGGCTTGTTTTTTCCCTTGACTGGCTCTGTTTGAAGTTCACTGCAGTACATAAGCAGATTTCGTCCAAGCCATTTCCTTAATCACCCCATATGTACCTGAAGGTTCTGTAATTAATATAACTTTAGGTTCCTGTTTTGGATAGAAGGATTAGGCTCTGGTCATAGAAAAGTATGCCCCTTTTTGCTGTGTATTTGAACTTGAGCTGACCTTGGCCCTTCTAGAGCCAGATCTAACTAGGTGAAGCTGGGCTGGCTGGAATGATTCATTACACTCCTGCCAAAGGTTCCTGATGCATCTGCACCCAGATGACTAGCTGGCAAGGTTCCCTCCATCCTTTTCATGAAGTGCTACAGGCATCTGCGCCTGCTCTTTCTAGAGCCGTGGCTTGTGACTCGTTGTCCCTGGGCCTCCCTTTTGTTTTGTCTTTGCTCTCTGTGACTTTGCCTGCCGAATCACACTCAAGTCTTCTGTAGGAGCTGCACCCCAGTGATGTTGGCTTACCAGGAGCTGGTACCAAAATCCTATGTGTTCAGCACTGGCGGACTGGACCCAGGATCTTCTGCCTTTCACACTCAGATACGTAGACACAGTTCCGAACTGTTGCTGAATGGCTTCTCTCTGGCACCACTGTGTAAAGAGGAGGTACAGAGCACATCTTCCTGTCAAACACTGGACAGAAAACGATTAAGAAGTCACCTGTCCTCTAGATACATATAGCCTGGACGAGCAAGGAAATCCTCACAGAGAGTTTAGCACCCGCCCTAGTCCTTGAAGGATGAGAAGGACTCTGTCTATAGACGGAGCAATTCTGAAAACATGACTGACCGAGGAGATGTACATAGTGGTGGAGACTCAGCACAGTGACGTAGGGAGGAGAAGGGTCAGAAAGCCATCTTTAAAGGACCTTTGATGATACTTGGGACCCTTGAATAAGGTCAGAGTAATCGTGGTTGCCATGCAGAGGGTCTTCATGCTCCTGCCTGAGGCCTCTATGCCACCTTCCTCCGTGCAGCCTCCTCTCATTATCTGTGTTCCTTCCCCATCCCAAGATAACTGAAGAGGTCCATGCCTAGGCCCATCATTTGCCTTCACAGTGGTGCACAATAGCCTCCCATATAGTTCACACCCAAGCCAGGTTGGATGCCCTTTTAGATAAAGGCTGAACATTGTTGGGTATTTTGCCCAGTGCTTCAGGTAGCATAGAGATGAGGCTCAGTGACTATTTCCTGGGTGAATATCTAGATATCCTGAATGAATGCTCTAAAGAGTTGGCTATAGCAGTAGGAACCTGTGGTCTAGAGGCTTCGTGAGTGTGACTGTTAGCCAGGGAGGCTAGAATGCAGTTAGGAACCATGATCTACCCTGGCCCTGGAAGAGAGTTAGTCAATGAGCTGATGGCTGTGGTTAGCAGACTTTGATGTCTCAGCCAAGATATCTGAGTTAGCATGGCCGGGAAGACACCCATCGTCAGAAAAGTGGGCATTTTCACAGGGAAAATTGCCTTCCATCCATTGCCTCATGATGGGAAAAGCCTGGACGATGGGATGTTCTGTTCCACCTAGCATCCAGAGGAAGACATTTCAATTCAATTCAATGATTTTTGCCCTAGAAAATGAGGACTATTAACTGGAGTGTTCTTCAGAATTGGCAGCAGCATCTGTCTGAACAGAAAGGTATGAGATGTCCTTGGAGAGTCAGTGTTCTTGCTCTGAGTCCCAGGAGGTAGCATGGGACTCTATCAGTTAGGATCTCCTAGATGAATGAATCAGAGAGAGAGACAGAGAAAGAGAGATAGGGCAGTCCGCAAATGGCTATCCCAATCTGGTGATGACATACTGACAGCAACCTAGAGCTGCTGCTCAATGAAGCATGGAGCAGCTTTAGCAGCTGCAACAACGGAAAGACAGATGTGCTGACCAGCAAGAAACAAAGACAGGCAAACAATTCTGCTTTTGTTTTCTTGAACCTTTATACCTGAGCCACCTGATGATAAAGTGACCCCCACCTAGGGGAGGGTCTTTTCCTGTCTCAAGGGAATAAGGACACCTGACATCCTCTTCTCTCCTCCTTGAAAGTGCACAAAAATAACACACATGTCAAAAAAGAAGGCTCTGACTGTCCACAGATCCTGTTCACAAGGGTTGTACGCTCTGTTGTTTGTTCAGGCTGCTTAGCTCCCACTTATAAGGAAAGTGGACATTATCCAAAATGAATTCCCCTTCTCTGTCCTACACCAACAGGAAAGCTATTTGGTGATGGTTTTATGAAGCCTCTAGATAGTTCTCTCCGTGGACTAGAGTGAGAATCAGCCCTTGGCAATGTTTACCAGTTCAGTGTTCTTCAATCATGGATGTAGCTTTGAACCATCTAGAAGCCTGAAAGCACACGCTACCACAGAGATACTGACATACAAGGTCTGGGGTGTGGCTTGGGCACTGGGATTCAAGGCTCTAAACCACACCTAGGCAGAACCCCTGCATGACAAGAACTGCCTTGGGAAAATTACCCAGCTTTCCCCAGTCTTTCTTTTGCTTGAAATGTAAGAATGTTGAGACGAACCTCACACTCTGATGGCAATTAAATAAGGTCAGGTCTGTTTGGTAAGCCGTATCTGCTGTCATGACTGAAGATAAAGTCACAGTTGACCTGTGTGCACTGGGTAACGCAGAGAAGCGTGCAGCTAGTCCATGGTAAGGAGCACTCATTGCGCACCAAGGACAGACCAAAAGACTGTCCTCACGAGGACTGTGTTGTCACTGAAGCCCCCACGTGTCAGCTCCACTTCATCTCGGAGTCCCTTGTTAGCCTTTCAAGCATGTGGCCATTTTTAATGGCAATAGTTACCTTGCCTGTCCTCTTTGTTGGGGAATTATTGATCTTTTGTCTTTCATGCTTAAAGGAACCAGGAAGCAGAAGCCAGAGGCACTAAGGGAGTGCAAGCCTTGCCTTTACTTTTTCAGGCTGCTTAGCACATTGAGTGACAGCCCCAGATTCTGCCATCAGATGGCCTTTTCTTTGTTTCAATGAAGTCATTAGGGTGACTGATAAACTTTATTTTAAAGGAAAGAGTCCTTGCTGGGGAGGATTTCCTGCGGAAAACCTCCTCTCCCCTTTTTCCCTGGGGTGGATCTAGCCTCTCAGAGTCACAGTGGTGGCTTCTATAGCAAAGATTTTTAACCTTGAGAGCCATGCTATCCACCTTGATCCTTTTAACAGAGTGGTGATGTTGTTGATGCTGCTGTTGTTCCTGCTGAGACTGTTGCTGTTGTTTTGCTGCTGCTATTGTTGTTGCTGTTGTTATTGTCATTGTTTGATGGAGGAGGGTCATCTGTCTATGTGATACTTTCATTGGTTAATAAAGAAACTGCTTTGGCCCTTTGTTGCTGCTGCTGCTGTTGTAACGGCTAAAGGATCCATGGTGTCTTAGTGTTACTTCTTTCATTATTGTGACAGAATACCTGGCACAGTAACTTAGGGAAGGAGGTTTACTTGGGTCTGCAGTTTGAAGGCTTATAGTCATGAAGGCATATAGTCATGGAGGCAGGAAAGTCACGAAGGCAGGATAGTCGTGATGGCAGGCATCTGGTCTCCCTGCATCCACAGACAGGGGAGAAGATGAACACTGGTTCTCAGCTTTCTTGTTTTTATCCAGTTGTGACTTTCAGCCCATAGAATGATGCTGTCCACATTTAGAGTGGGTCCTTTCACCCCAACACAGTTCATAGGGTACCTTACAGATAGGTTTTCTATTGAATTGACAGCCAGTATCCACCATCACAAGAAACCAGTTTTACTCTATAGAGCATATTACTTAAATCTCACTTTTTTTCACTAAGGTCAAGTATGTCATTTGTTTTTTGAAAGGAAGAGAGAGACTGAGAGATGCTGGCTCCAGGAGAGGCCAGGCTGATTTCCTCAGGAGACTTTCTGTCTGATCTCCTCTGTTTGCTTAAATACTTTGATCAAACATCTTCACTGATGAATTTTCCGCTTACAGTCATGTGCCCTTCAGAAGTCTGTTTACATTTCCATAAACGGGTGTTGATTTTATCAGGTTAAGTTGTCTTTGTGGAGACCTGACAGGAAACAGGAGCACACTGACCCCAGCAAGACAAGCGTGGAACTCGTCCAAAAGTGCTTTGACTCGTCCACACCGATGGGGCTAAAGCTAAAAGTGGGATTTCCAGGAAGCAGGCTTCTATCAGGATGTAAATTAAATTTCTTTTCTTCCATCTCCTGCGTTTAAATGTCTAGGTTTTCCTGGACTAATTCTAAGGTATTTTGAAATAATTTGTAGATAGGGCTATTCGTCCATTCCATCCCATTTAGTGAGTCCACACGCTGTACCAAACAAGCGGAGGCAGCCAGAGAGGAACCAACCATAAAAATTGTTGTAATTCTAGGGAGGAGGATAAGGATGGACGTTGTGGGTAGACAGGAGAGCAAGTAGACAGAAGTGCGCGGGGAGAGACAGATTTTATCTGAATGACTCCACTCACACATTCCTGTCCTCTGTTCCTGAGGGCCCAGAAACTTGTTCCCTGGGTGTTCAGAGGGTTTCTGTGAAGTGCGCTTATAGCTTAAAGAACAGCCAATGGTTGTGAGGACCAAGATAACGGGGAAGGTCATCATGCCTGCAAATGTATTAGTAAAATATAGTGCCTGAGTGTGAGTAAGCCACAGAAGAGCAAATGCTGCTGCCAAAGCGACCCTCAGGGTGAGAAAACCTGAGGAATAGGAAAGTCCCTTCTTTTCTGCAGACGTCCCCTTTGGAAGGCCCTTCTCCCCTCACCATTTAGCTGGCCATGGTTGTGAAACTGCACACACGGACAACCTCAGACCTACCTACCAGCCCCAGGAGAGCTGCTGGGACGGAAGCGTAGGGCTTGGGCTCTGGGGCAATTTTCTCTTTCCTGCCTTTATGAAACCCTGGTCCTTTGTGAAGCTTAGCCGAGCCACTACACTTGCTTAAGCGTAGGACTGGAATTCACTGGAGAGATGAGTGTTCTGAGTCAGGGGAGGGGAAGAGCGGGTATGTGGAAGGTCACCTTCAGTAGGACCATAAATCTGTTTAGAACTAGAGAGGGGAAAGCCGGGCCAGCTGTGGCCCCTTGTTGTAGCCCAGGGAATAGGACAGGCACCGGCTTCACCTGTGCTCCTTTCTGTAGCTTCTGAGGCCTCTTGGGGAAAGCAGGAAGGGTTAAGATGCTTTGCTTTGTGCCCAGCACCTGGGGGCAGTTAAGTGCCTCCATCAAGGGGGTTTAAATCTTACTCCAGCAGGGCGCCCGTGCAAAGCCTCCCCTTCAGGTCCCAGAGTCCTGCCTGGAACCTAATTATTCCCAAAGCAACTCAGAAATGCCTCCAGAGAAAATGCATTCTTCTGAAAATGTTATTAACTCATGACCTTGAGTGCCCAGACAGCGGTGGTGGCCTCTGTGAGTTGTGCTCTTGCTGTAGGATTTTCATTAGAGTTCAAAACCGCTCTGATCAATCGGCAAGATCATGGCAGGGTGGAGAGCCAGGGCAGTGCAGTCTGGGCTTTGGGGGAAGCTTGAAAGCTTTGAGACACCAGGAGCATCTGTCACCTACTGTGTATGCCTAAGCCAGAGGTGGGGTCTGAAATACAGGCAGAGAATCCAGACAGATTCTCCTCTTGTGAAGTGGAGCGGGTATCGTAGAGCCCCCTCAAGCACCAGAAGAAGCATGGATTCCTGCCACACTATAAGTGTTAATCCCACCAGTCAAGAATAAGTCCGCTAGCATAATTTTTGAGTCAGATTTGAAGAATGCTTTATTAAATACTGACCAGGATGATGGACACTGACCTGGTCCATACTCGGGACTCCCAGAGTATGGCCCTGGATAACATTAGTCAGAGGCTTATAAAGGCAGGACACAAAAGGCTACGTCCTTCCCACTTCATCCAATCAGGGGCAAGCATACACCCTGACGTACTTCCTGCCCATTCTGTGCAGTTGGGACAATGGTGTTTCTACACAGAAGCAAATACACAAGCCCCCAGCATTCCAGGAAGTTACCTGTCCTTGGGCAAGTGGAGCTTATAAGTTAGAGGCATTTCTGGTCTACAGATCTCTTAAACTTCAAACACAACCCTAGCCCTCACATAAGGAAGAAGGTCAGAAGGGACAGGCCCCATCAGTGTATCAATGTCAGAGCCGTTCCTCATGGTGGCGTGGGTAGCTTTGTTCACGCTTCTTTTCCCACTCCTTTGGGGAGGGCAAGCTCTCCGGACAGTGGTAAGGAGCAGGGGAACTGCCTACACTATGATTGCTGCTTCTGCCTGGGCCAGGGACTCTGAGATGGGGATCCCACCAAGGGGAGCAGATGATGTGGGGATGGCCACAGGGGAGGCCTATCTTATTGACACATCTTGAAGCAAGCAGGTTCAGGTTAATCCATCAAATAGAATTTTAATTCTGCCCTAATGACTTTACCCTCTGTCCTCGGCACAGAGCCATTATGTCGTCTTCATCAGACCATCGCCAAGCCGACTTGACCCCGGTAACTATTTAATTAAGGAAGCTGACCTTGAACGACTGTGTTTTCTCTAGTGTGTGCAGTTATTCTTACTTTGATATCTTAGCTTCCTTTCCTGTCAGGTGATAAAATACTCCTTACGGAGCAAGGGTTTATTCTGGCCTGCACACAGTCCGAGGGTACATTCAAGCCCATGGTGGTGGGGAAGCCAAGGCAGCAAATGCTTGAAGCAGCTGTTACATCACGTGCACAGCCAGGAAACAGAACAAGGGTGCATGCCAGCACTCTCGGCCCACTCAGCGTGTGTGCAGTCAGAACACCCCCAGTGGGTGGTCTACTCGCCAGGTAAAATAACCTCCTACAGACATCCCGTGCTGTCAGGTTGACATCACTAACAATTGCGACAGCCTTGCTCTAGGATTTTGTTGACACACTGGAGCCAGGCCAGCTGTCCCTCAGATTCCACTTCTCCTGAATTCCACTCTGCTGCCTTCCTGGGTTACTTCTTTCCTTTTTCTGTCTTGGGTCAAAAGCATACAAAGAATCCCTGCCCCTCCTCCCAACCCTGCACTTCTCACACCTGTGTGTTTCTTCCTGGTCTCTTAAGATTGGAGTGACAGACTAATCTCCTAGAATGTCCCATGCTCTCTCTGCTTGTGTAGCACGGTGTCCCATCAGTGGTGCCAGCCCAGCAGTTTGCTCTTTGCCGTTCCTCACATCCATCTTGACCAGGGCACAGTCTATCTGCTGTGGAGGGGTTCCCGAGGCAGGAAGGGAAAACCCTGGCTGTTCCACACGGAAGAGAAGGGAGAGAGGGATCCTGTGGGCTGCTGACCCGCCTTGTCTCACTGGGCCTACCCGCCACCTTGTGGGGTGACAGATTGTTTACCAGAATTGGGAGCCCTCCCCTCCTAGATGTAAAGAAACTTTACCTTGTTTCACATCTTCAGTTAGACAAGAAGTTGCATCATCTTGCCAGAATTTCAATTTGTTTTGTTTGCTCAGTCCTCAGGTATAGATACCTGAGACTTCATCCCATGAAAGTGGGGACCTCATCGCCGCCTGCTGGTTCTGTAAGAAGTCTCTGGTCCTGCATGACTAATGTGCGCTTGGAGAGTGGTCAATGCAACTGAGAGGCTGAGATTTGAGTGTGCTTTAATTTACCTGACAAAACTAGACAGGGCAGTTGTCGGCAGTTTTCAGGGGTGTTTGGTGGATCTTGGTTGGGGTCTTATCCTGGGAATTGTCATCTACCCCACTAGGAGCCCTAAATGTGGCTTTGCTTCCTTTGGGATGTCCAAGTCATTGTCTCTACACACTCTTGAGTCATCTCTAATTCCTGATCCCATGGCTCCTTTGCCACCTCTTCACTGTTCCCAGTCCTGGATTTACTTACAGGGTCGGCGCCAACCACACTTGACTTAGTTGTGCCCAAAGTGCAAAGTACACAGTGCCATTTGCAGGTTGGTACAATATAAAATATCTCAGCAATACATTTCTAATGAGAAAGATTAGAATACAAAGTTGAACCAAGTCAAACTGGCCCCACTAATATTAGGACCAGACTGGTTGTTCACACTATACCTGCAGTACTTAAGGAAGAAAAGCTTTGTCTTGATCATAATGTCCAAAGGTTGCAGCTCATGGTGGCTGGGAAGGCATTGAGGGGCAGCTCATGGTAGTGGGAGGCTGTGGGGAAGGCTGCTCACACTATGGCAGATCGGGAGGAAAGTGTGGGGAAGGCTGCTCACAATATGGCAGATCAGGAGGAGAGTGTGGGGAAGGTGGTTCACACCATGACAGATGGGGAAGAGAGAGTGGGCCTGAAGCCCAGGGGTATAACTTTTAAAAGCCAGCCTGACTTCTGCCAACAAGCCCCACCTACTGGAGGTTCCATGGCCTCCCCAGAACAGCGCTGCCTTTGGGAGCATTTCAGATTCAAACCAGAGTAAATACTGAATATTGTTTATATCTTACTGTGTAGGCTGAGGCTCAAAGCATCAGTTGGGCTTCCTCCCTCAGGGCGGGGCAGGAGGCTCACTTGGTGCCTGGTGAGTCGGTTCGTTCTTTCAAAAATGGCCACGTGACTGTCAGAACAGGTGGATGTCTGTCCTTGTCTGTAATTGGCGGCCAGGAGTGGGTTTCCAGAACCGCCTCCAAGTTCCCGTGGGTCCGTTCTGTCATCCGCCTCTCACCTGACCTGGGGTTTCCTCCGAGGCTCTCCTGCTTGCCCACCTCCTTCAACTGCACACAGGTCCACATGGGCTACTCAGGCATCACTGTCAGTTGGTCAGCCTGTCCAAGGAGACAGTGCACACCTCAGGATAGTCCATGACACCATCAGGCTGCCAGGGGAAGACAGCTCTGCCTCAGCCTCGTGAGGCATGCCACAGATCAGGTGACAGGGACACGTTTCTTGTCTTCTTCACTGACCCCTCAAGCCAGCTGCCCTCAGAGGCAGTGTGTGTACTGAGAAGCCTGGGATACACATGCAGTGAAAGATTTTTAAAGTGACAGATGTGACCACTGTGTGAGGGAGGGTGTATGGACCCTCAGTGAGTGTCCTCCCTGGGTCTCCGAGGAGCCCAGTGTCTAGCTAACATAAGCTGTAGATGCCTACCGGGTGAGAGGAGGAGGGATGACCGAAATAGGACCATGGGCTGTGAGGAGCTGCATGGGTGTATTCAAACAAACCTGATGCCTGTGCCGTTGTTGTTTAGCCCTCGACAGCTTATTCAGCAACCCTAACACTAACCCCAAGTTTTTCTGTAAAGCAACTTGACTAAAATTACAGCATGAAGCCTCTAACCACAGTTCAAGGCAAAAACCTGAAAAACAAGCAAAAAGCTACAAAAAAAATCCTAAAAGAAGACACTAAGGCATCTATCCTGGGCCAGAGTTCACTGTAAACCCTCCCGTTTACCTGGTGATATTCACTGTTTATAAGTTGTTGAGGCGCAGACTTCACACTCCATCCTGGAAGCTGTAAATCTGAGGTTCAGGCAGATCGTGTGCCTGCCCCAAGAGCATGGGGCTGTAGGTCATCACCAGAGGACTTGAGCACAGTCCACGGCGCGGTTCCTCATCCCAACATGTTTCATCCTCACAGCCTCCCTGACATGCCCCTGGACTCCCTAGAGCACACCAGGGCCTTTCCCAGATGCTCCTCACAGAGGGGAGGAAGGTATCAGTAGGCACAGCTCAGCTGTGAGAATCCAGAGGAGGAGAAAGTGTGAGCCTCTGCAGGTCCCAGGAACTGGATCTGCTTCTTGGTTCTGAGGAAAAGGAATTTTTGTGCATTTGCCTTCAGAACATTCCACTTTTTGAAAACAGACTACCTTTTTAGTACATCAATATAGGTATATTTTGCTGGGCAGTGGTAGTGCATGCCTTTAATCACAGCACTCGGGAGGCAGAGGCAGGCAGATCTCTGTGAGTTTGAGGCCAGCCTGGTCTACAAGAGATAGTTCAGGACAGGCTCCAAAGCTACAGAGAAACCCTGCCTAAAAGAAAAACAACAGAAAAGATACATTTTAATTCCTGCTGTGTGTACTTTCAGTCATTTGTGGCTCCCTTTGTCTTGGGGATAAGAAAGGGAGGCAACAGTGTGTCTTCACTCTGCCCATGGAACTATGCCTGCCATGATAGTGGGCCACTAATACAAATGCCTCCCAACCCTGTCCTGAAATGACCATAGTGCTAATGGAAGACTGACCAGCAGGCAGGATGTCACAGTTCCCCAACAGAGACTTTACATTTGCAGTTTAGGAGTGTGAATGTTTCAACAATACCAGTTAAGCCCCAGCCTGGTCTAAATGATGTCATACATCAGCCTGTGACCTTGAACGTTGGGCTTTGGGCCTTGGTGTGGGGAGGGGATGCCAGATGGGCAAAGCCAGTCTGCTTATTCCCCTTGGAGAACAACCTGTACAAGGAAAGGAGCTGTGTACAATTTGGGCAATCAGAAGCTTAAAGAGGCCGTTTACAGGAACCATACGTAGGAGAATGGTTAATGATGGTCACTATGTAAGTAGGTGATGTCCACTGTTTCACTGAACATCCAGCCTTGGAAGGGAAATGTTCTTTCACAGTGGGCGTCAGGATTCCTGGGCAGCCAGTTTCTATGAACAGAGAGAAAAGTCTCATAGGTCCTCAAATGTTTGTGTGGGAGGGGGGGAGAGGAAGAGAGGGAGACAGTGTGGGGGGGCAGAGGAAGAGAGGGAGAGAAAGGGTGTGTATGTGCACACTTGTCGGGGGCGGGGACAGAGGAAGAGATGGAAAGAGTGTCTGTGCACTCGTGTGTGTGTACACGAGAGCACCGAGTTCTGGAGCTCTGGATATTGAAGGGTACCAAGAAACTTAAGCGTAGTGTACACAGGAACCAAAAGCCCCCTTCCTGTCCATACAAGACTAGCTCAGGAAGGAAAGGAGTCTCTTCTCTTGGTATCAGCCTCCCTCCAAGAGACTTGTTCCTCTGAGGGTGCAGCCCTTGGAGTTGGTACCTGGTTTTTCAGGTCCTAGACAGGTCCCTGCCACTCTTCTTCTCTGTGGCCTCCTACTCTCTCCTTGGACACATTTGCTGTGTCGCCAAGCAACTCGCTACAAAGTAGATCAATGAATGTCCATCCCGTAGTTACAGGTGGAAGCGAAGCAAGGAAGACAGAGATCAAAGGCCTTCCCACTTCCTCATGGGCATGTTACCTATGTCTGAGTACGACGTGTGTTCTTTCATTCTGAAGACTGTTATTGAGTACTTATGGAGTACCAGGTATTAGATCAGTCCTGTGGGGGATAGAGATATGAATCAGTCCTTTATGAAGAAACCAGTCTCAGAGCTTTCTTATACAATACGTACGTCACTGTCTGACCAGGGGAGCTAACAGAGTGAGAAGCGCTCCATACTCAAGTCAGAGACAATTCGAGGCAGATGCTGTTTGGAAAGGGTGTGCACCTCTGGCTGGGGTGATCAGGGGAGGTTTCATGGAGGAAGGGCAGTCCTTAACCTTCTGCAACAAGAGGGAGGGTCAGATCTGTGGGAGGGGCTGAGAGCAAGAGCAGCCTGGACTGAAGGAAGCAGGTACAGGACCCAGATGGGATGGTAGTGGCTGTGGGTGGAGTCTGTGTGAAAAGGATGCCCTCAAAGGGTTGCTGTCTGGGCTTGTATGTCTGGGCTGTTGTCTGTAGAACACGTATCACCATGATCTTAGGTCACATACATATCAACCTGATACCTTGACACACCAGAACAGGTTCTCCTGACATTATGACAGGCTGCAGGGTAGGCGCTTTTCTTCTATCCCAACGACAAGACACACTGATGGCCCTCTGCACAGTCCACCTCTGCTTGTGCAAAACTCTCAGGGCTGGAGAGGGGACTTGAATTAGGTTCCCAGCACCCACATCATGAAGCTCAAAACTATCTGTATCTCTAGTTCTGGGGGAACTGACACCTGACCTCTGTGAAAACTAGCAGACACGTGGTGCCTATAAACTCATGCAGACACACATACATCCATATACATTTTAAAACTCATCCATTAATTACAATAAATAATTCTTTCATAAATAAAACTCATCAAAACTGTAGTCTTAGAGCACAAACCATGGTGGAGGCTGGGATGTACATTTCAGCATCAGAACCACGGTGCTGGCCTGGAGTCCTGCGTGCAGCGAGAGAGCCCTGGCTCCTCATCTTCATCTCACACGCATTCGTGAGTGCGAACAGAGATCAAATTTGACACAACAGATGTGACTGTGGAACAACACAGTTCACTAGGAAAAAGAAATGATCAAAAATGAGAAAGACCTTTATGTTTCTGGAAATAATATGTAGCAGGAAATGTAAAACAACACAAAGCCCGGGAGATAAGTCGGAGGGATCTTTCCAAGGGTAACTAAAAGATAAGATTGGAGAACAAGGGCAGAAGGGGAGGAATAAATGGAGACATCAGGGCTACATCTCAGTCCAGAGAACTTCAAAGATGAGGCAGAAAGAGGAGAGAAAACCCATCTAACAAACTAATACCTCAGAACCCTAGAAGGAGAATCCTCGGCTTGCTGGAGCATCAAACGTGCGCCTGCCTGAATGAAAGAAATCCTGAAGAAAGTACACGGCTGAGATGCTGGGGCCGTGGGGAAAAATACGTAAACAATTCCTAACGCGTCCCTGAGAGACATGTGTTCCACTCAGAGCTTTATAGTCCGTGTGCATCCTTCTCAATCCAGTACTGACAGGTGTAGTTAGACTAGTGGGCCAGCAGCTTCAGAATTTTGATGGGAAAATGAATTATGCTGGGTTGGTTTCTTTTCTCGCCGCTGCGACAAAATGCCTGGTGGAAGCAACTTAGTAAAAGAGGTGCTTGTTTTGGCTTACATTTTGAGGGTCCAGTCCATCACGGTGAGGAAAGTACGGCAGAGGTTGTGGCCAGCAGATGTGGCAGCAGGAGCTGGCGGTTGAGGAAGCACTCCAAGCATAAGACAGCTAAAGCTCAGAAAAGCCAAGCAGCTCCCTTGCGGTCAGCAGCCAGCACACAGTGGGGCAGGCACTGCACTGGGCTCTTGCCAACATCTCTTCTGGCTTTTAGTGCTTGAGGGTAAATATTGAACTGGGGATCCCAGATCCAACCACCCAAAAGATGATCTCAAGGAACAGTGGTAAAGGAAAAACTCATGCGATAGTTTCTGGTGGGGGCCACCTAGATGCCACCACAGAGTGACTTAAAGCAACAGGCACCAGTTCTTTCTCCAAGCGTTACAGACTAGAAGTCCGACATCAGCACTGGTCCCTTTGAGGCATTTGGGAGAAGAGCGACTTCCAGCCTCTTGTAGCTTCTGTTTGTAGTCATCCAGCCTTCACACCAGCGTCTGCCTCCAGCCCCACAGCCTTCCCCTCTGAGTCCCTTGCCAGAGCATCCATCCTTCGGTTTAGAGCCCACTCTAAAACAGAATTAGGTGATTTCAACATCCTTACCTTATATCTGAAAAAACATTCCAAATGTGGTCATATCCTGAGGTCTATGTGTTTTTGAAGCCATAACCCAATATTGCACTAGAGAACACAAAGCCTCCAAGTGACAAATGTCACTCCTGGGGACGTGTGCCAGGCCTGAGGCTCCTTGCCTGCTGGTGCCTTCTCCTTCCTGTGCAGAGATCCCCAAACACACCCCCGCATGCATACCCCATGACTGTGTGTTATTGACAGGGAAGGTTTCTCCTCTGTCTGGGGCTGACCCATCAACCAAGGAGACACCAGCAGAGCACAGAGCATCAGAGGGAAGCCTCTCTGTCAGTCCTAGCCTTGGACAGAGCATCTGGTGTGTCTGTGGTCTGTCAGCACACCTTCCAGGTTACTGCACTGTACACACGTGCAGCCGTGATGGGGATGGTACCCCTCTCCTCGGGGTGTTGCTGAGTGGTCAGACAAGGCATCCTCTTTTCTCTTCATTAACCATGTCCCCTTGGTATGCAGACAGTCAGGTTGCATTGTGACATCATCCTAAGTATCATTACATCTTGTTCTCAGTTACTCCCTACTGCCCTCCCATCCTCCCCCTTCTCTTGGCCGGTCCCTTCTTCCACCACCCCTGCCCAAAAAGGCCTGCTGCTTTCCTGATGTGTGTGCTCCATTGCTCTCTTACTCCTCTCTCCAGCATCACCTTTTCTCTTTTCATCAATATGTGTATATAAAAATTTAGATGTAGAACTGTGTTTATTTGTAATATTTGTGTTTCCCAAGTGTGATTTGCTTCCCTTGACAGCTGATCTCTCCAGTTCTATCCCTTTTCCTACAAATGTTATAATCTTTTTCTTTATGGCTGAATAAAATCCTGCTCTGTCTGCGAACCACATTTTCTTTACCCGGTCATCTGTTGATGCACATTGGAGCCGATTCCACATCTTGGCTCTCGTGACTAGTGCGGCAATAAATAAGTCATTCGTGGAGAATTCCAGGAGAAAGTGCTGAGCCATGTGGTGGTTAGAGGGATCAGTCAGCAAGCCATCTACCGAGTGACAGCGGTCCCTGAGGATACCTTGCTAGCCTCTAGAATTTTCCTGGCTGACCCCTGGGTCTCCTGTTACCCAGGATTGGGCTTTAAGGTCACCAGTTTTTGGCAGGGTGACCAATAACCTGTGGCTTGAGAGAAGCTGTTCCAACAACCAAATGCTAGTGCTTGCGTATCAGAGTCCATCTTGTCTTGATCAATCAAAGTCAGGATCTTGCCAACAGCCATTCCTCCATCCTGTTTAGTGAAAGGGTCAGGCAGCCTCGTGTAGCCAGCAATGGGAAGCTCAGTGGCTGCTCACCCCACCTAGGCTGATGCTACCCCTGGCTTACATGGTCTACTCCAGAATTCTCTAGGGATGTTTCTGTGATAGAGAGCTTGACAAAACATAGGAAGAAAAGATGAGGAAAGGGAGGGAGGGAAGGAGGGAAAGAGGAAGGAAGGCTCACAATTTCAGGGTACAGCCTATCTGGAAATGGAAGCCATGGTGGCAAGGACAGCTTGAGGTTGTGGCATCAGAAGCATCAGACTGCTTGCTCATGTCTCTGCAGATCCAGAATCAGAGAAAGGGAAATTCTGGCCCTTCCCCCCCACCTCCTTGTTTTTCCAGCCCAGGACTAGTGCCCATGGGATGGCCCTGCCCGCATCTTCCCCACTAGTTAACCCTCTCTGGACCCTCACACTCTCAAAGGTGTGCCTCGCTAGTGACCTCAGGTGACAAAATTAACCTTCACATTGGTGGACAAGGGCTTCTGTAAAGGAGGAGGCCCACATGATGTGAGAGAACCTTTCCCTTCTCCCGAATGCCTGGCATTCTCTAAGCAGACAGACTAGGATATGGACCAGGAAGAGACTCTGGCTGGTCATTTGAACAGAGAGGACAGTAGTCACTCTCTGCGGTTAGGGAGGCAGTCGAGCACACTGTCCACACCTAACAGTTCTCTGACCCAGCATTGTCCACCAGAGTCAGCCCCTACCTCTGGGGCTGTGGTCACGGAGACCCTGTTTGCTTTACACGGCATTGTGATCTTGACGTGTGCTGTTGCCCTCACCCAAATCCTCCACCTTTTATCCTGTTTCTAACTCACCCTCTGGAGTCATCTCCAGGGTCACCCCCACAACGAATAATTTGTTGCTAATGCATTAACTGAGCAACTGCCCCCACTTCATCCTGGTGTTATCCCTAGGAACTGTATTATCCGCCGCGGCAGATGAGGAAACAGACTTGGGGGCCATGATCACACCCTGAATGTTGCCTAGAGCATGTGCTCACACCGCTCTCAATCGCTGATTCTGGCGTTGTGAGTCTCCCTTCCTCCCGCATCCTAGCATCCCTGGAGGACAAGGCCATGCCTTATCCCCTCCCACCCTGGGTCCTGAGAATGCAGTCTGTGCTCAAAGAGCACTGGCTGACCTGCTCTGCCTCCACCTCTCCGGTGCCTCCTCTGCTCCCCGAGGCTCAGGGCATCCAAAGTTCTGGACTGTAAAATATTACTGAGGCTGTTGAAGGAAAAAAAACAAAACAAAACATAGCATTTGATTCTGTAATAAGTTGAGGGGGTTTAAAAAAACAAAGTCCAGCTAACTATCTTCCTTCCTATCGGCCATCTATGCTTTGTTTTTCCAAATTTTAAGTTTCTTAGATGGTCTGTTTTATAAATCTTCATGTTTTATGCTCAGCTATAAAACCAGGCAGGGTTACTGATGGAGGGCTGGTGGCTAAGAATATCGTGAAGAAAGCTACGTCACCCAGGCCTGTTAGGATGTGAGGTGAGGCCAAGTCCCCCTGTGATGGCTATGGTCCAGATCAGCACCAGGCTGGGCCTGGCCCTGGGAGGAGAAGTCTGGGCTGGGGAGAGCCACCTACATCAGGAAGAAGCCCTGTGTGGGAGGGTCCCTTGCAGGGAGGGAGCCCTCTGCATGAGGAAGCTGCTCCATGGGGATGCCTTGTGGGAAGAGCCCGCTATTCAGGGGCCTCACTGTGTACTGGTGAGCCCCCCAGCGCTTCACTTCAGAGAGCAAAGCTTTTTGAAGTTTAAGGAAAAATTATTGGAAAATGATTACAAGGGCTGGCCGGCTTGTCCAGTCATCCTTCAGGGACCAGGGCCTAGGACATTACATTCATTGGAACACACACATTCACACCAAAAAAGTCCCCAGTGGCACACAGGAAGTTTTGGGAGCATAGGTGGAGGCAGAGAGGCGCACGGGGTCCTGGGAAGGGCTGTGACATTGTCTCATACTAGTAGGAAGGCAGAATGACAGTGACCTCAGCAGACAGCAGTCCTGGCCTCAGGTGCTTTTTCTGAGAGCTTGGTGCGTGGGCTGGTCTCAGCTGTCACACACAGTCTGTGCACACACAGTCTGCAGAGACCTCTGAAAATCAGCCAGCTAACCCACCAAGGGAAAGTCCCAAAGAGGCCAGTGAGAACAGAGTTAGGGCTACACCAAACCTACGCTCTTTCTGCTTCCCTCCGAGCATGTCAGAATTCAGTATAAAATAGGATAGCTCTCCTTAGGTTGGTCCCGAGTGCCTGTGACTCATACATTAGCCCATGCTAGTCCACTTTCTGTCGCTGTGATAGAACCCTGGTCACAAGTGTCTTGGAGAGGAAGGGATTTCTTTGGCTTATATTTTCCTGTCACTGTTCGTCATCGAGGAAAGTCAAGGCATCAACTCAAGCAGGGCAGGAACCCAGAGGCGGGAGCTGAAGGAGAAACGCTGCTTACTGGCTTGTTCCTCATGACTTCCTTAATCTGCTTTCTTATACTTCCTAGGGGTGGCTCTGCCCACAGTGGGCTGGGCCCTCTCATTTAAACACTGATCCAAAAAAAAAAAAAAAAATGCATGCCCCAGGCCAATCTTATGGAGCATTTTCCCGCTAAGACCCTCCCACCCAGATGACACTACCTTGTGTCAAGTTAACAAAAACCTAAGCACACAGCCCCTACTCATGGAAGGCCCTGAAATGCAGGGTTTTACTATTCCACAGCCAGAGCCCTTCTGAATAGCTTGCTCCCACCCGGGAACTTCCAGTCTCATGGTGTCCAGGCTCCACGTGGCCTCTGTGTGTGGCTAGGACCCTCGTGTACAGTGACCTGGAGGGGTCTCCTATTCTCCTTGGCCTAGTCTGTGCTGTCCCTTGAGTGGGAGTCAGAGCTATGAGAGGCTAGCTAGATCCTTCTCGTGTGTGTGTGTGTGTGTGTGTGTGTGTGTGTGTGTGTGTGTGTATGTGTGTGTGTGTGATCTCTTCCAGCCTGGCTATCATCTGCCCTGCCATAGGTCAAAGCAGCTTTATTCATTAACCAATAAGAGCAACACATATACAGGACATCCCACAGCGTGTGTGTATGTGTGTGTGTGTGTGTACATACATTGGGGTTAACATGTGTGTGCATATGCTTAGAGCAATTTTACTTTATTTTCCTTTAAATAGGATCTTACGTTGAACCCAGAGCTTGTCAATTGTCTAGACTGATGGTGAGCCCCAGGGATCCTCCTGTCTCTCCTTCCAACCGATGGGTTTGCAGTCAGGCACGATCATGCCTAGCCTTTTTGATGTGGGTGCCGGGGACTGAAGCAGGAACCTCACATTTATATGGAAAAGCACTTTACCTATATGTCCATCTCTAGCCCTGGGGACAGTCCTCTGAGGGAGCCAGGTGGTCGATCGTCCCATCTCACCTCAAATCACAAGAGGTTGACTTTTTTTTCAAAGGAAGTTAAAAATAGCGGCTCACAAAGCCTGGCAGCTTTAGAATCTGAGTGTCCATTGGTTCATCTCAAATAACCACATATTAGCAACCTTCTGGGCTCTGGCAGTCGCTCAGCGCAGTCTCAGAGGGATGCAGAGGCATGAATGGCACACAGTGGCCGCCCTATGGATTTTCTCTGTTTCCCAACATTTTAGTAACACTTGGGATGTGCAGCCTTCAGCGTGGGCCTCCCATCCCTAGCCTGTCAGGCAAGAGAATCCATGTTCCCATGAGCTGGAAGGACCCTAGCTGGACCCAAGGAGTATGTGCACATGTCCCATCTCTTCCAGCAGAGGGGTAGCCAGTCTCCAGGGCTGAGTCTTTCCAGCGAGTGATAATGGATCTCTGCATAGTCCCCAGCACCTCTCTGTGGCCACAGTCACTGAGTTTGTTTTGTGGGAAGGAAAGAGCATAGGCCATACCCTGAAGTCCTGCCTCTCACTGTCCATGTGGTCCCGCACAGGTCACTAATTCAGCTTCCTCCACTGTCAAATTGCAACGGTGATTCTTGCAACGCATGCCTCACAGGGAACACTGTATGGCAGGTACCTTTCCGTTCCTGTGATAAGACATCACAAGCAAAAGGAACTTGAAGAAGGAAGCATCTGTTCTGGCTTAGGGTTCCAGAGAGATAAGAGTCCATCATGGCAGAGATGTGTGGTAGATGGTGACAAAGAAGACGGCCAGAACCTGACAGCCTCATCCTCTACTGAAAGAAGGACAGAGAATTCTGGAAGTAGGGCAAAGATTTAAGCTCCCAAAGCCTGCCCTAGCAATATACTTCCTTCAACAACATCCCCTCCGCCAAACAGTGGCACCAACTGAGGACCAGGTGTTTAGATTTGGAGTCCATGGGATACATTTAAACCACCACACCTTAGTTCTGTAAGATAATACTCTTGAGTATGTGGGCTGAGCTATAAAACACTATATAAAAACATATGATAAATTATTAAAATCACTAACTGCATTCTAGAGGAGAAACTTGAACTTATCTAGTAGTTTCCAAAGTGATTTCTTGGGCCATGAAAACTCTTCTTGAATTCTTATAATGAAGCCCACAGAAACAAGTTTGGCACTGAGTTGATGGGACCTAGGGAGTCGGCAGCTTGCTCAGCATGTGGAAGTCCAGTTCTCAGGACCCCTAGGCAGGCTCTTCCACGAAACTGGATGATCTTCTCTAGGAGGATTTAAATTTATACAAAAGGAAAATTCAATAACAGTTGTCATCATTGCAAAAAGTAAAATATATCACAGGCCTCCTTCTAGATACCCTCCTGAAGTCAATTAGGCATTTGAAAGCCAGTCAGACAGAGACAATGGAGTCAGTTGAGTTGGGTCTGAATTGACGAGAGACAACAATGAAGTCCTTCAGAAGTTTGCACACTGCACTTCTGGAGCCCACGCGTGTTGCACAGATAAACCTACCTGTCACCTCCTCTTTCCTCACGGGATCACACACACCAGCAGATTTTGGGGGACATGTGGACAGCGTCACAAACAGGAACGGTCATAACTTGGGCACTGGCATGTTTGGGCACTGTAGACCCTGCGCACGGTGATAGAGAAGGAAAACATGACAGTTTCTGCCTTCAGATAGATTCCGCCTGAAGAAAGTGACCAGCTAGGAAGGGGTTTTCTCACCATGAGTTGCGGAAATGACATGTAGTCACCTGCTGATTGGCACCATCAGAGTGGGTTTCCTAGTATTGGGGGAGGGGAGTCAGGGACAGTTATTGGGGTGAGGACTGCCAAGTTCAATCTTGGAGAGCTCAGTAAAGACGAGTTGAAGGGCCAGGGTAGAATGTGGAGTGAACCAACCTGAAGTTATCTAGCCTGGATGAGGGCCAGGAGAGTTGAGCTAGGATTGTACCATACAAGCACGATTGGCTGATTCTTAGTTTGGATCAATGTAGACCCACCAATGAGACAATGCGTCTGTAGGGAAGACCCCCCACATCCTCGATGCCAAGGCTCAACAGTACTGAGGAGCCTTGTAGCCTGGGACAGGAAACTGTGCAGAAATACAGAAGGCACCCCACCCCACAGACTGAAGGACTTCTGGGAAATGCTGCTCATCTGAAAAGAGGGATTTGGGGAATTAGATTGTATTTGGAATTGGACATTCTGAATACAAGGCTGGAGATATGGCCCTGCAGATAAGAGCACTGACCACGCTTCCACAGGACCTAGGCTCTGTTTCCCGCACCCACATGGTGGCTAATAACCATCTGCAACTCCAGTTCCAGGGCATCCCACTACCTCTTCTGACCTCCATGGTCACTGCGTGCACATTGTACATGGGCATACATGCAGGCACAACACCCATACACACAAAATAAATCAATCCCAATTAAAGGAATTCTCAATACAGCTTTCCTCCCAATACAGGTTCCATGATGCCTTACAAGAAAGCACGGATTGGGACTGTGTCCCCGCATAGCATTGTAGAAGTCCCATGAGACCCTGTGAGGGCTGGGTAGCCATGCCTTCAACAGGAGCCTTATCGGCACAGGAAGTACTGGGGTTACAGGGTTGGAAGTCTCGGCCCCATTGCCGAGGCACACTCCTGCCTTGGGGAACTGTGAATGTCTCTGGGCAGATGGGCGAGTGCTGAGCCTGGTGACACAGACCTCATTGGTACCAGCTGCACGCAGACAGCCCTACCCACTCTATCTAAAACGCTCGTCAAAATGCGTGGTCATGGCTGCCGCTGGCCCAGCTTCCGCTAATGACTTCAAACCAGCAGCTGAAATCAGACAATGGCCCTGTACTCCACATCAGCCCTTAGCCTTGTCCTGTGTGGGGGAGGGGTGCTGCTATCCAAAGCCTGTGGGAGCTTTGGTTCCCCTGACTCTTGGTGCAGATGGGCAGCCTCAGACCTCTCTATGAGGAAGTATGGACCTGAAGACCAGGATCCCAAGGAGAAACCTTTGCTGAAGTGTTGGGCTGGCCCAGACCATCCCTTCAGATGATGTCTGGATCCGTCCTGGATTCTGAGCCAGGGCCCATTGAAGAGCACAGCACAGACACCCTTCCTGTGCACACTTACGCGGATGCTTTTATGCTCTGAAAAGCCTGTCTGAGCACTGACGTGCAGGCTCCCCCGGGTGAGTTTTGTGATGCTTTCTTGACATCAGCAGAACTCCCCTCCCCAGTCCTGACACAGCTCATCTGAAGCCTCAAGGACTGCCCTTGACTGTCCACACAGAGAGAATAACAGTGTGCTCCGAGCCAAACCTTTCCTGTTACGATACCACGGCCTCTGGAGTGTCATCTTTCCAGGTCAGAGGCATTCTCCCTCTGGCTCATGAACCAGTATTAACTGTGTTCATTCATTTATCCCACAAATATCGAGAGCTAATCGTGGCCAAAGCAGACTGACACTGTTCTCTTAGGTCAGGTGATAGGAAATTTAAAGTCAAAGGTAACAAGGCACACAGAGTCCCGCTCTAAGCCCTTACGGTTTTCAGTGGGCGTAGATACAGATACAAACAACTGGCGTCTTGTTCAGCGGGCAAAGGCCATGGAGTTGGGAGGCAAATGTGCTGTAGACACTGAGGACCACGGTTAACTCCAACAGCCGTCACAGCCTCATCTGCTTCCTCTCCATCCAGCCACTTCTCTCTGCTCCCTTCTGTGAAAAGGGAGCTCCATTACCACGAAACAGGGGTGCAAGACTAAGAATAAGGGCAGAGGAGCTGGGTGAACACAAAAGATGTCAGAACTACAAGGCAAGAGGACTGAGCTCAGTGGGACGAGGCAGGCTTTCTGCGGGAACTTGTTCTGGGCCTCAGCTAGAGCAGACTTGGAAACTTGACAAAAATCAGTGTAAGGCACCAGGGGGAGCAAAGCAGTCGCTCTCCTGTTGCCGGCCCTCTGCTCTCTGATGTCTGAACCTGGGTGTCTTTGGCTCTCGCTCTCTCGAAGTGGATAGGATTCTTCTGAGTCCCCTGATTTGTACCCACAGACCTAGGCAACTCATGAGGCAGGGCCACGGGAGGGACATGGTGCCAAGGAAGGGACAAAGGGAGTAGCCCTTCTGCTGGTGAAGTCAAGGACAAGTTTGGGAATAAATGAGAGACATGCTGTCCAGTGAGCACCAGAAAGCCACAAATGGAGACTCATGCAAGTAGCCTGATGATGTGGCATCCACTTACCTGCCATTGACCTTGGTGTGAAGCCATCTGGTGACAGGTGCTTTGACCAAGAAGTTGGGGCAGAGGCAGCAGCCAGTGACACTGATTGCTGGGTGAACACTAGGCTCAAGCGATCTGAGTTTATTGGGGTTCTCCATGTTGAGTAAGGTACACCCTTCTTGTGGGTCGTATGTGAGAACCTGTTGAGTGCTGTTACCAGAGAATGCTGGACCAGGGCCCTTGGAGGATGCGGGGCAAGTTATATCTCATGTGCACCTGGGTGGTTCAAGGAACAGGGATGGCAGAATTGAGTGCTATGTATCACACAGTTGGACGAGAGGACTTCTTTAGTGAAGACGTCAAGCCCTGTGAGTAAGACACCCCTCTGGAGCACATGGGCAAGGGCTTCACCAAGACCTAGGGGGTCTGTGACACATCCTAGGACAGATTCATGGATGGTCCGGGGTTTCCTGCACAGGCTCCAGGTGCTCCAGGTGAGGAAATTGGAGAAGCTGTTTTTCTGCACCTCCAGTCAGCACTCAAAGAGGGCATCCTGCCCCGGGTGTTTTCCGCAGGGTCAGAGCATATCATGGAGTCTAACTGCCACTATGACATGGCTGCAAAGGACAAGCGTCCTTGGGGCTCAGCTGCTGGCTGAGCAGGACACCTGCCACTGTGCAGTAGAGATGGTCTGGATGAAGGGATAGCAACAGACCTGGTGCAGCGGCTCAGATGCAAGACCGCAGAGACAGTTTACTGTGTTATGCAACGTCCAGACACTCTGGGTCTTGCTTCCATCGTTTTTAAATTGGGATGCCGTGTATCCCGGTGACCTTGTAAAAAGAAGAAATGCATGAGATAACACAAAAATGCCCAAGTGTTGGCTAAGTTATTGTTAAAGCAAGCATGGGTTTAAGGTCAGGAGTCTTTGCTCTTAGGTTAACCCAAAGAAACTAGCTTGTGATTGTCATAGCCACCCACATCCAGACCTGTGGACCGTACCAGTGGTGATGAAAACTGACCTTTCTCACACTGCGCTGTGGCTTAGACTCAAGATGTTCGGATTTTGTGACCGGAATCCCTGGGGCTTTTTATCTTAGGGACTCAGGGGTTTTCTAACTTACTAGGTGTCCTGGGAAGACGCAGTTAGGCAGGCAGCCTTCCAGGCATAGGTGGACTTTGGTCCTCCTGAGCTGAGCCAGATGGCAGTGAGAGCCGATGCTCTGCTGTTGGGGAGCTAGAAGAACCAGGACAGAAGAAAGGTGATCAGTTAATCGGGAGGAATGGCCCCGAGGGCCTGCAGAGCTGTGAATGTGTTGTGGGCTGCAGCCCTTGGTGGCTGTGTTTACCGCACTGACAGGGGATGGGGGGGCTGACTTGGCATCTGGAGCTCCTTCCACCTAACACAGGGTGTCCTCTCCCCCTCCCCCCCCCAGATTGTGTTCCGGAAGATCAGCGACGTGAAACGGGAAGAGGAGGAGCGGATGAAACGGAAGAATGAGGCCCCCCTCATCCTGCCTCCTGACCACCCCGTCCGGAGACTGTTCCAAAGGTTCCGTCAGCAGAAAGAGGCCAGATTGGCAGCAGAGCGAGGGGGGCGGGACCTGGATGACCTAGATGTAGAGAAGGGCAACGCCCTCACGGACCACACCTCAGCCAACCACAGCCTGGTGAAGGCCAGCGTGGTCACCGTGCGTGAGAGCCCTGCCACGCCTGTGTCCTTCCAGGGGGCCTCCACCTCCACAGTGTCAGACCATGCCAAGCTGCACGCTCCAGGATCTGAGTGCCTCGGTCCCAAGGCAGGCAGCGGTGACTGCGCCAAGCGCAAAGGCTGGGCCCGCTTCAAAGATGCCTGTGGGAAAGGGGAGGACTGGAACAAGGTCTCAAAGGCAGAGTCCATGGAGACGCTGCCCGAGAGGACAAAGGCGTCAGGAGAGGCCACGCTGAAGAAGACAGATTCCTGTGACAGCGGCATCACCAAGAGCGACCTGCGCCTGGACAATGTGGGCGAGGCTAGGAGTCCCCAGGACCGGAGCCCCATCTTGGCGGAGGTCAAGCATTCTTTCTACCCCATCCCTGAGCAGACGCTGCAGGCCACAGTCCTGGAGGTGAGGCATGAGTTGAAGGAGGACATCAAGGCCTTGAATGCCAAGATGACCGCCATCGAGAAGCAGCTCTCTGAGATACTCAGGATACTAATGTCCAGAGGGTCTGCCCAGTCCCCTCAGGAGATGTGTGAGATCTCCAGGCCCCAGTCTCCAGAGTCAGACAAAGACATTTTTGGAGCAAGTTGAGAGGATCATTGACAAACAAACTATCAAAAATCAAAGACAAAAAGCCCTTGCCCTCGACGCCCCTCACCACACCGCCCACATGACCAACAATTTTCAAAATAAGCTTTTCCTGTCAGGAAGTCAAAGTGGGACCAAAGGGCACGGTGTGGCTGTGAGGTCTCTGGAAAATATAAGCAGGAACGCGGCCAGGCGCCCACCCTGCAAGATGGCAGTTGCGTTTCACCAACTCCTGAGAGCTGGGGAAGAAGGAGCACGCCGTCAATCTGAAGAGTGCTTCCTTTAGAATGTCTTACCAATGTGATGGAAGCCAGCCCTGGAGACACTGGTGGGAGAGCCCCAGGAACCCCTCGGGAACAGCCCTCTGAAGACCACACCAGGCACCGGGACTTCTGGGCCTTCACCACCCCTGTGCAGCCGTGTATGACGTCACCACCTGTTTTTCTATTCTCGTCATTTCTAACAAGCTCTCGTTAAGGGGAGCCTGACGGATGGGAGAGCCTTCCCACTTTGTGGCAGAGGTGGAGAGTCTGGTACTGTACCACGGACATGCGGGCTGGGCTCCTCAGGTTTCCTTGCCCAGAAGAGGTGAGGCCAGGGTAAGCTGAGAGGGCCCTCAGCTCTGAGCGGGCTCTGTTGTGTGGTCCACAGCCTGCTCTGTGGGATGGTTGATGTGGATGCTCCCAGCTCCAGATAACCCCCTGGCACTGAGCCAAGCTATAGACCTCACAACGTGGGACTCTCTGCTGCTTCTCCCTCGTCCTCCTCCTGAGCTTGCCCAGGGTGTGGGGCATTTAAGAAAGGGGCAGGAGCCCGGCAATGCTTTCCTAACAAAGCAGACACACACACACACAACCTCAAAAATGAATGTAGCAAGTACTAGCTTTCTATTTTGATTCTCATGGGATGTTTGTCCAGTGCATGGGATCATTCAAGGTCACATGGGAGCCACAGTTAGCCTTATTTGAAAGTCAACCTATTTCCTACTCTAAAAATAATGGCAGGACCATGATTATTCTCTTAGGGAGCTGGAGAAGAAGAATGAATGACACATTGGCTTTCAAAATGTCTCAGTGATTAGCTGGGGGGGGGGCGGGACAGTGGAACTGTGGTCTGGGGGAAGGCTGAGGCTCAGAGCCACGGCTGCAGGGCCATGTCTGTGGCATCCAAGTTCCCACACCATGATGCTCAGGAACACTTGCTGCCTCAGTCACTTGAGGTCTTTTTCTTGATGGCACGCGACAGAACACAGGACAAAGGAGCTAGCTCAGGTGCCCACTTGGAGGCTATCAGGGAGGGATGTAACCCTACCCCATGAGCCTGGAAGGAGCCCTTAGGAGAGTGAGAGCCACGGGTGCTTCTGCTTAGCATTGCTTGGCTGTCGCAATTCAGAATGCCAGCCTGTCTAGGGAACCCGCCATGCAAGACCTGCCCTACCAAAGATGCTTAGTGTTCTGCCCAGAGGCCAGGACTTGCTGTGTGGCTGTCCATACAGAATGGATGGCACTGGGAAACCAAGGATGTGACTGCATGTAGCTTTTAACACAGTGCATAGGGCCGGCTCCTGGCATCCCTAGGCCGAGATTCTAGTTGGACCAGTGTCAGATGGCAGCATTTAAAGATGCCCACTGGTGACCCACAGTCCCCTGAGCTGCCGCCAACTACCCCTTGGGATAGACTGAGACACTGGAGTCCCATTTGCCGCTGCCCCCATGAATGTCCCACTCCTCACACATACTCAGTAGCCTGGTTCTTAGCTTTGGAGCACTAAGCTTAGGGTAGGATGGACCCCATGTCGGACAACACTCAGCCTCGGGAGCACCTGTGCCTAGAGATCCTTCTGGAACTCTCTTGGACTTAGCAAGCCCTCTAGCACTGGGCCAGCCAGTGGACAGAGGCCTTGCTACTCCTTGACAGCTCTTTCTGAGGGGTGAATCTCCTTCAGATGTGAGGGATCCAGATGCTGGGGTGCTGGAGAGCACGCCCTTGTGTCATGGGACAGATAAAGCTTCAGGCTGTACTCTGGGGTCAGTCAAAATTGAAGTCCTGTTAGGCTGAGGTCCACACTCTGCAAGGGGTGCTGCTCATCTTGGGGTTCTAGGAGTCTAGGACCTAAGAGTTCCTGAAAGTGCAAGTGACAAACACACGTGGTGGCTTCATGCTCTCCACTTCTATAGCATTTTTGCTACGATTGCCTTCTCTAAAATAAAACATAAAGGAGCCAACCCATCTCTCTTTCCTTTCCTGGTAAGCATTGGACCGGAGCTTTTTTGTGCCAGCTTCACAAGGACACAACAGGTGTGCCTTGAGCAAGGACCATAGGCTTCAGATACCAATGGCCCGCACCTTTATGTCTTAGCCACGATCTGCTGAGGAGAGACTGGGTAACAGACTGAACAGTGAGATTTCAGAAAAAATGGTGTCCCCTTGGAGGGGACGGGCACAGAATGTGGTACACAGCTGTCCAGTAGGTGCCGGCCACCTGGTCAGCTGCTGTGGACGTCAGCCAGAGTGAAGCTCCATTTCCCAGTGCCTATCTCGGCAGGCTAGCTTAAAGGGAGCAGTCCCACTTGGGTGGATGAACCCGCTTTCTTCCTGAGGGCGTGTGGTAGAGTGGGCTAGGCATCAGAACCAAACAGCAGAGCCAGTGTTCTGGTTCTGGCAGGCACACTGCCTCGCGAGCTATGCCATCCCAAAGGGAGCTGCGGATTCCTCCACTGGGCACACGACAGGCTTTGGGATGCCCTGGTCTAGGCACAGCTAACCCCATTTCTCTGCTTCGTTCGTACTGGAGCAGAGCCTGAGTGTTCGACTGCTGTGCCCAACAGTTGCCCCCCAGCAGGCTTTGTTTGTTTGGTGCTGGAGGTCAAAGTCACACCCTTGCCCATGCCAGGGAAGAACTCTACCACTGAATGATACCTCTGCCCCTTCCCCAGCCACCTTCTAGAAACACATTTATTACCTTGATGTCTTGTTATCTTGTTCCTAGGGCCTCGTTAGCCTTCACCTCTTAGAGCCTGTGCGCTGCTTTCACAGTGAGGATGGTTGGGCAAGGAGTAGAAATACCTTACCCCACCACGCACAGGCTTCAGCTTCCGAACCCCTGGGTGGAAGGAGGGAACAGTAAGACAAATGCCAGGTACGTCCTGGTTGGGGTCGGGACTGAATAAACTCTGGAGAAATACCTGTCAGCGGCAGGGCCGCATCTCCTCGTCACATGGACATCTTACAGGTACACTCCAGGGCCTCTCGGGAGCCCTGGCGAAGGTACAAGTTGTAGATGTACGCGTAACTAAATTGTTTGTACTCCGTTCTGCAATAAAGATGTTTCGCCTTAAGACCCTTGAATGGAATTCCAGCTGCAATGAGGGGTCCCAGTGCCCCCTGTCTCCTCATGTTGCTTAGAAAGGAGGCCTGCGTAGATCCCCTCAAGTTCTTGGATGGCCTCTCCTACCTACCTGGCCCTGTTATGGTTACTGCTCCATACACTGCCTTTTTGTTCGCTTCAGTAAAAACTGTCTTCACCAGCTCCTGTGTTCTCCATCTGGAGGAGTCTTCAGTGTTCATGAAGCCCTGACCCTAAACTCCTAAGGACCACTTTCCACCCAAGGCGTTGGTGTTGAGATGCTTTCTTTGCCACCGCCCACCCTTCAAAGGAATCAATGTGAATTTACCTGCAGTTTAAGAACTTTGGTTTCCACAATAATGTATCAGAACCTTTAAAGATGGCCTCGAAATTCCTGCCAGACCCGGTAGAGGCGTCTCCACCTGCCACTCGGCCTTCCTTAGAGCCACACTGACGGTGACTTCTGAGTCCTTGAGGAGTCTGCAGCTCTCCTATCAGAAGACAGACTGCGTTTATGGTGAAAACGCAACACCCCTCATGAATGTAGCCTCTCAGTATTCAGACACTATCTGTGTATCAATTGGAGACTGTCCACATCACAAGGACATTTATACCCATGAGCAGTTCGTCATTCTGGGGCTTCTCTGTGAACACTCTCCATCAAATCCTGCCAAATCCTTTCTTGGGTTTTTAGTTTCTTTTCCCCCTCTGTCCGAGTGAGCATGAATAAACCGAAGTGCAAATGAGCAGAGGCTATTTTTGTGATCAGCTGTGGGTGCTGCCAAGAGCTCCGTTGTGTGGCTGTGGCGCAGGGATGATTTGGGCGCTCCGTGGATGATACCCCCTTCTTGACATTTTTAAACAAGCACAAATGATATTTGTAAAAAAAAACAAAGTTTAATTTTATTTATTATGGTAATAAACTATTTTATACGTGATACTCGTGTTCGCTTTTCCTTGTGTGCCATCCAGTTGGTGCTTTCTGATCCCTCAGCAATTCTGGGCTTGCCTCTCATGGCCTGCATGTGTGGCCACACACGTGTAGCTTACAACCATCTGTAACTCCAGCTCTCGTTGATCCAATACCTCCTTCTGGCCTCTCAGACACTTGCACACACAACTCACATAAATGTAACCTTTTCAAACACTGATCTGGGAACATCATCTCTGGCGTGGATGATGACTTAGTTTGGCTCTGAGCATCTTGCTCCCCTCCTTGGGCTTTGTCTTGGCAGTGGACTTGTGCTCCTGGCCTTGCTCCTTCTAGGGCTGTCAGTGACTCAGGACCCCATCCAGTGTTTTTCCAGAACTGCTGCCAGAGTTGCCAGGGCCAGATGACTGACTGCTGCCCAGGAGCTGGCCTCAAGGGTCTGTAAAGTGAGGGGGGACTGTAGCAGAGGAAGGTATTTCTGTCATGTCACGGTGGGGAGCAGGGAGGAGGCAGGACGAGAGCCCTGGATAAGCCACACAGAGAACAGCTAGTGTCTGTTAGCTCCTGAGACCTTGATCGAAATCAGATGGTTTTAACAAACTCAGGCTTCTAGCAGCCGAGTGCACTCACTGACTCTTCCAGAGCAGCGTCATGAATAGGTCTGCCTTTTTGTAGATGGCTTCTCGGGGAGAGTGCAGCATCGCCTACATTATTTATAGGATGTCTCCACATTAGACACTTCCCGATAGCCATTTTTACACCGTGGTTTTTCCTAGCAAGCCCTTTCCCTACTTGAAGGCCTCGCCCAGACTCCCTCTGGCTGGCCACAGACCCTTGCTCTCGTTGGTCCACGAATCTAAACAACACTCATTTCCGTTCTCCCTCTCCCCATCCTCAGAACCTCCTGGTACCCCAGAGCCGCCTGCCTCGTGTCTCCCCCTTACCAAGCCACTGGTGAGGTTATTAATGCTCAGCTTACCTGTCCCTTTGCTCCAGTGAGTACAACACACTCATTCCAGGCCTTCAGCGTCTGCCCCTCCCAGCCCTCCCAATTGCAGCAGCTCCTAGTGGATCTACCTGGTGACTGGGTGTGCATCCGAAGGACGCAGGCTCCACTGAGCTGATATTCCCAGGGATGATTCAGGACAGTCAGCTGCAGGGAATGAAACAGCACTAAGCCCCGTTGGCCCTTCCACCTCGTTGTCATGCAGTAAAATCTCATGCAGCTGGAGTGTTAAGCATTCGTCCACATTTGCTCCATACACGAGCTCCTCTGAAAGCTGCCTCCCTCTCCTCCTCCCCCGCAAAACCACGCAGAATTCACGTCACTCACCTCTTGTCAGCGGTCGCCTGCCCAACATCTGTCTGGAGGGATGAAGTGTCAAGTTATGCAGGTTTAGATCTCAATCTTTTTATTTGAAAATATCCAAAATAAGTATAGAAAAATGTAAATTATCTATGTAACAAAGGGTATACAATAAATTCTCAGTTATTTGAATGAGAACAAGACAATAAAACCGTCTAAGCAAAACACACTTAACATGTGGGACCTTAGGCCAACACCCTTCCTGAGGACTTGCCCAATAGCACCTGTCTGTGGGAGCACCCATCTTCTGGCTTTTAAACTGCCATGCTGGACAGAAGGGCTGAGAAAGAAGGGTCAGGGGACTCCATGGCTGCCGGTCTTGAAGAACAGCAGCTGTGTGGATGCCCCAGTAAGGTTCAGACTGCAGAACTCCCTGGGATGCTCCACATGTACATCGCCCATGTTAGCCAGGCCACCTGGAACACGGCTATGGCTTTGCCGCCTCCCTGCTAAGGACCATTACATGCAGGCCAGTCCAGAGTCCCCAGATGCAGAACATGGAAAAGGGTCATCAAAACATAATGGAATGTCTCAGAGAGGCAGGCCTATCCCGACCAGGACGTCTATTCCCAGACAATAAGTGTCCACCGTGCTGAACCTTTCAACAGGTTTACGGTAAGTTCTAGAACAGATGTCACCATGTATAGTTGGGAAGAACCCGAGACTGCTCTGAACTCTAGCTTATGCACTGAGAGGCTTATTGGGGTAGGCAGAGAATTTTTGAGGCTCCAAAATTAGAATATTTTCAGGTTGTACATTTTCTGTGATAAAGATGTGAGGCTCAGAATGAAGCATCTTCAGCAGAAGATGAGTGGAAGGTGTCCTCAGGGGTGGTCTCAGAATAGAAGGTGTCCTCAGGGATGCTCTCGGAATGGAAGGTGTCCTCAGGGATGCTCTTGGAATGGAAGGTGTCCTCAGGGATGCTCTTAGAGTGGAAGGTATCCTCAGGGATGCTCTCGGAATGGAAGGTGTCTTCAGGGGTGGTCTCAGAATGGAAGGTGTCCTCAGGGATGCTCTCAGAATGGAAGGTGTCCTCAGGTATGGTCTTGGAGTAGAAGGTGTCCTCAGGGATGGTCTCAGAGTAAGAGGCCCAGTTGAAATGCCATGTCCCTTGAAGGCTGATAGCCAGGCTGGCCTGGGCCAGTAGCATTAGAGAACTGTGTATGTGTGAGCCCAGGCGATACCCACATGTGAATAACAGTACAGAAACCCCAGGACAGACAGGGTCACCCACGGCCAGCCTGTGTGAAGAGGCAAAGAGGAAGAATGGTTAGCAGGACTGGGCAGGCCCTTCCCTCCCTCACAGGCAAATTGTCCTCTGAGGAGAGGGCAACTGAAATGCAGGCCTGCCAGAAAGCCAGCTTTGTCTGCACCCAGCAGGCGGGATCCTGAGTGCTCACCGGGGTCACCTGGAAGTAGCGGCACATTACCGGAAGGCAAGCAGACTTAGAAATAGGGCGTGCGATTAAGGAGCGGGTCTTGTGGAAACTAAAGCAAATAACCAGGAGAAAAGCCTTGTTTGTGGGAACCATGCTCAGTCTTCAGATGCAGACTGGCTGTCACACTGAATACAACGCCATTATTTTAGTGCAGAGAATTATTAAATTAAAGACTAAATATCAGATTTCAAAACTCAGAACTTGGGCTGGAGAGATGGCTCAACAGTTAGAACACTTGCTGCTCTCGCAGGGGATGGGAGTTCAGTTACTAGCAACCCTATGGTGGCTGCTAGTTGCCTCTAACTCCAGTTCCAGGGAATTTAATGCCCTATTCTGGCCTCCATAGTCACTGCTGTATGTGGTACACATACAAGCACTTAGACACACACACGCACACACCTACACACACACACACACACACACACACACACACCTACACACACAATAAATAAACAGAAAACAACCAAATAAATAGTAAATCATGTGGGGGAAACAAACCTCAGAGTTTGGGGCTGGAGAAGTGACTCAACCATTAAGAGCACTTGCTGCTCTTACAGAGGACCTGGGTTCAGTTCCTAGCAGCCACACGGCAGCTCACAACTGTTTGTGAATCCCATTTTAGGGGCTCAAATACCTTCTTCTGGCCTCTATGATACCAGGAACACACAGAGCACACATATGTATATACAGACAGAACATTCATACATGTAAATAAAAATAAATAAATCTTTAAAGACAGGTCTCAGGGCTTTTAGCAGCACCTTCTAAAACACACATCTCATAGTACCTCACCTTTCCTTGTCTTTAATATTAATGTCAAACGTTCTTAGGAACATTAGAGAACTGGAGGTGATATTAAATATACAGAAGCCAAACTCTACAGATTCAGTGCTGAGAATAAGTTGGCATGGTGACCCCATGCCAACTTAGGTAAGACAGGCACACACAGTGGGGCTTAGAGGTGTGCCCAAGCCACCTCGGGTAAGAAAAGCACACATAGTAGGGCTTAAAGGTGCTCCTATGCCACCTTGGGTGAGACAGATATACACAGTAAGGCTCAGAGGTGTGCCAATGCCATACCAGGTAAGGCAGGCACACACAGTTGTACCATTCTAATCATGGCCTCTGTCTTTGTGTGGCCACCTGCCCTTGTTTCTGAGTCCTCACTTCTCATGTGGACGTGGGTCCCTGACACTTTGCCCTGATGATTGCTTTACAACTCTTTGCTAGTTACATCTGAAATGGCTGTATTTCCAACTGTTGACATATCTAGAGATTCCAGGAACATGTGAATTTGGGAGGAGAGGGGATACTGCTCAAGACAATTGAGTATTTTTCTGGCATTTCCAGGGGGTTCCATGAGTCTAGAGACCTGCAACTTGCTTCACTCTGGTGTCGCTGCCTTGTGTGCATGAGGACCCCAGTTCCATCGCTACACCCCACGTGAAAATGAAGAAATGTGGCGGCATGGACGTGAAATTCCCGCCCTGGGGAGGTGGAGACAGGTGGGTCCTTCAGGCTTGCTGCCAGAGCAGTGAGGTTTAAGAATGACAGTCAGGCTGAGAGACAGCTCAGCAGTTAACAACGCTGGCTGTTCTTCAATTCCCAGCATGTGAATGATAGTTTACAATCCTCTGGAGCTCCAGGCACATCATACACGCATGTCCTCACACACCAGTGTGCCTCCCACATGACACGCGAGGAGAGGTGTGCTGCCACTGTGGCGACCCCTATGGAGGTTCCTCCAGACATCAAATCAAACATAGAATTATAATACATGTGACTAAAGAATGCAAAGCAGAACCTACAAGAGATATTTGCACACACACACACACACGGTCACAACATAGTCACAAAGATACAAGCAACTCAAGCTGGCGGGTGAGTTGATAACTGATATGCACACACACATACCAGCAAGAAGCAAATTCTGACAGATGTAACAGCCTCCGTGGAACTTGTAGATATTATGTTATGTAATAAGCCAGACACAAAGGAACAAATATCTGATCCCACTTATATGAGGCCTCAGAGTGGCCAAGTTCATAGACAGAAGGATCAAGCAGTAGCAGGGGCTAGAAGAAGAGAGGAATGAGAAGCACTTGATGGAGACAAAGTTTCAGTTTTGGGTGACAGCTACATGACAATGCAAATGTTCTTAATGTTCCTGAACTACATTTAAAAATAGCTAAAACCATATTTTTAAGTTATGTAAAATTTACCACAATAAAATAGGAGGCTGAAGACCTTGAGAAAATAATATATAGTAAATGAGTCCATTTATATAAATTTCAAACTGATTGCAATGACAACAATCAGTAGTTACCAGAAGTGTGGGTGCAAATGTCTCCTGCTGATGAAACAGTTTCATCAAGTTCCTCATCCAGCCCCGCCCCCTCATTTCTCTTCTGAGCTAAGGTCTGGGCACGGTGTGGCCCATGCTAGCCTCCAACTTGTGATCTTCCTGCCTCTGCCTCCCCAGTGCTGGGCTCGTATGTTTGCACCTTCACACCAGGCAAACGTTTTATAGTTTGATAGTGAGAATGATTTCAAATGTTTACTCCACAGCTGGCAAACATCCACCCAACGTACATATGAACACTTTCACTATGGTTTTCAATGATGCTAGAACAAAACCCTCAAAACCGACCTGACATTACAAGTCATAGACTGGCGGCATTGGGCTGTGACGTCCTGGGCTGTAGACATCCCAAGGAGCTCAAACAAGCACGTGAAGAAACACGGTTTGGTTTTTAGATGAGGTGGAGTGTTCAGCCCTGCGTCTTCCCAAGGAGGGTTCTTTTGAGAGTGTCAGGGCCTGATTCTGGGCTCCTGGAGCCCCCCTTCCTCCACCAGAGCATCTCAGAAGCTCCTTCTTCTCCCTGCAGTTTGGCAGAGGACAGGCTGACGTAGCTGAGTCAGCACAAATCAGTTTCCCATGGAGAAATCTATCCACATCTCATGCCGGGGGGTGAACTGCATGCTGGGGAATGCAGGGGCTGTCAGTCACCCCATCGAAGGCCCACTGAGCTATGTGCTTCTCAGCACTGCCGTTGTCACCTTGCTCTCTCAGACGCCACAGCCCGCTGTTTACCGTTTCTCGAAGCAAACAGTCTGGGGCCAGCAGGTGAACATGACTGACAGGGATACAGCCCTCCGGCCCAGCCTCTCGGTCGACAGCACGTCCACGTGCGAAGCTTACAGACGTGACAGGCTCTGCTACGTTTACAAGATCACACGCTCAGGTAATCCTTTCAACGCGGAGGTATAAACGGCTGTTCTTTTTAAAGGAAACAAAAAACATTGAAGTTCGTGAAGAAAATGTGTTTTCTGGATAAAACACAATATTGGGGACTGGGCAGATGGCTCGGTGGGTCATGAGCAAAGGGCTTGCTATGCAAGCATGGGGACCTAAGTTCAACCCCAGCACCCATGTAAGAGGCAGGTGTGGTGGCATGCCTCTGTAACCCCAGTGCTGGGGAGACACAGGTGGATTCTGGGAGTCACCCGCCAGTCAGCCCAGCCAAAATAGCTAGCTTCTGGTTCAGTGAGGATGTTGTCCCAAAAAACAAAATGGGATGAGTTAGAAGGAGACCCCTAAGGTTGAACATGTACAGGTGTGTGTATCTGCACATGTATGTATAACACACACAGATATATACCACATAGCATACCATATATGTACATGCATGCCCCTCCACATGCACCGACCACACAGATGCATACAGAGACATACACACATATAGAGATATATCACAGGCATGCACATGCACACACACACACACACACACTACACATACCATACACACACACAGATGGCCCCCACATGCACACACAGAGAGACATACACACATACACAGAGACATGTCACAGAAAGACACACACACATATAGACAGCAACACAGGCACAATAGAAGTTCTCGTTCAATACTACACCGCCTCTAAAGGGCCCCAGCTCATTCCCATGCTTGAAGGTGAGATTTAATCCTAGAGTAGGCAAAACTATATCACATTGTCCTGTCTTTTTATAAAACCGCCTTAGCTTATCTCCATCCACCCTAGCAAGTGTTCCAGCCAGAGGCCCCTGCACGTTCTGTCCACTGTCCCTGTAAGCTCCCTGGTACCCACTGACCACCTCCTGGTGGACAATTTTCCTGAGGGTTGAGGAATACCAACACGGGACCCTCATAGATGAACTCAAGGTTTTTTATAGCTGATAGGCCCCCCCCTTTCTGGTTCCATGAAGCCACTGAGTCTCACCATGAGACTCAAAGCCATTCTGAGAAAGGAAAAGAGCCACAAAGTTCAAAGGTAACAGGGTCTGCTGCCTCCTGATGCACCGTCCTCTGGCTGGAACAAAGGTCCCAGCCTGTCCTGGTTAAGGTCACCCTCCACAAAGAGCCTCTGCCAACAGGCTGGCTCAAATATGTCTGGCCAACAGGAAACTGAATAAGGAGTTGATTCTAGGAGATGGTGAAGAAGAAAGAGTCCAGAGTCTTGGGGGTTGATGGATTTGGGGGCTAAAGAGCAGATTCTCTCTCTCTGAGACCAGCCCCAGGCAGAACTCTCAGGGCCCACGGAGCAGGTACACAGAGGCTGCACCAGTGTTAAATATCTGCACACCTGCCAACCACAAAAGCAGCTTCTTCGCAGCCTGTGCTGCTCACTCTCAAGTCAGAGGAAGGCACCTCTCTCCTTAGTTCTCGCCTCATCCCAAAAGCAGAGGCGCCTGCCTAGGCTCTCCCTGCCCCTCTCGTGAGGTTTAATATCACCATGCTGTCCATTATTCAAATGCCCCTTTG